TGTAAGATTGCCATCAGTCATAGATTATTCCTCTAAGTAAGGTTTCATAATAAGTTAAGACTTGGATTCTGTTTTCAAATTTGGTTAAAATACATGTTCTAATACAGTCTTGTTCCCAATTTTCAATTACTCTTGCCCAATCTTGGGGATCGTGTTTAGATATATCTAAAATAGTTCCTACGTCATGTGCTGGAATATTATCATACCTTCTACGATTTGGTATCCAGGTAGACGTATCTGGTATATTTCTATTTTCTATATACGTTTCTTGTGAGGGTTGTAATCTTTGTCCAGTACTATAGTCATCATTTGTTTTATTAGTATTACTGGTTTCATTATGTATTTCTTGGTCTACTGATCCTGTAGGTTGAGAGATAGATCCTTTCGGTTCTTTTCATTCTCTATGTTTTACGACATTTAATTCTTCTTTTAAAGTGTTTAATTCGTGCTTTGTGTAAAAGGATTCAAACCCTACCTTTAATATATTTTTCTTAATATCATCATTATTTCCTTCGCCTAGATAAATGCTTTCTATAAGTTGATAATTTGGCTCAGTATATTTTTCTTTCAGATCCTCCATTTCAAGATTGTCAAAATCATATATTATTTTATCTAGAATTTCATCTTCTAAGCCATTATAAAGGACATTTATTTCTTTAGGAGATTCTATTTCTATTAGTGTAGTTAAAAAGTCTTCTTAGGTGTCATTAACTAAATTATCCTGCCTTTTATAATTACTAAATCTTATAGTAGCTTCTCCACTATTTTTCACATATATCATATTACTTTCGAGACCCTTTTAGTTGTAATAGTAAGATTAGGTAATTCCCATTATGTTCCTTCATGGGTAATACTGCTTACTTTTCTAACTTCAATCATCTGAACATATTTGCTACTAAAAGGTTTAACTATTTCGCTGAATTGGGCTTTAAATTTTAAGTTATACTGATTAACAGTTTTTCCCATAAACAAAGTATTAACTAATAAGTTTTCAAATTATCCTGTCATATTATATCCTTTTGTGGATATAGCAATCTTAATATGTTTACTGAATTCTCGAGTAATCATCGTGTAATTGGGGATATATCCTATAATGGCTGTGTTTGCTGCTAGATCTATTTCAGCGCTGGTTATTTGGGCTTGTTGATGGTTATTCCATCGATCATCATAAATATAAACAAGTGCTCTTGTTCCTACTTCTGCTCTGTTTAATACTACTAATCCTATCATTATTACACCTAAATGCATAAGTTCTAAATTATTATCATTCAACTATTGGCAAGCTTTGGGTGTCATAAGGTCTAAAATAACTTGATTGTTAACTGCACTTATTTTTCTCTGCCTAAATTGATTATATATTTTACTCTGTAAATCTAATAAATTATTGGAGTAAAAGTTAACTTTATTTTTTACCTTCTTCATTCCTTGTTCTATATATTTTTTAGCATCATGCTCATTATCATATAGATCTTCTACCCGCATTATTTCTTTGGCTTTTAAGGATAATGGCCATCTCTATGTGGCCGTAAAAGATTTATATGCTTGGTGGTTATAGGCGAGAACGGATTGGTTGATAATTTTATATCTTTTATTTTATCTGATAAGTCAGATAATTCTTTACAAAATTCTCTAGGAATATTTTCTTGTATTACTTGTAATTTTTCTTCGAGTTTATTAACTTTTTCTGATAACTGGAATAAAAAGTTATTTTGTTTAATATTTATATTAGTTGATTGTACGTCTATCTTAAAACTTGTAAATCTTAAGGGTCTTTGCCAATTTTATAAAGTTCTGTTAAAGCTGCTAAATAATCAGGATTACTAGTGCTCAAAAAATATTGTAATAATCTTTGAATATCGGTTTTAAGTGACTTTAAATAGTCTATAATTATTTTTTGATTTTCAGAAATATTTTTAATATCGTTATTTATATCCTTAATGGCGACCAATATTATCTTGTTATCTAAATTATTTGAACTAGAATTTTGTGCTACTTGTTCCTTAATATAATCAAGATTTTCTCCTAATCGTTTTATAGAGTTATCTAAGCTATTAAAATCTATTTTACTCAGAAACCTAGCTAAAATCCTTATCGTTTACCTTCTAAAATATCTTGTATTCTAGTAATTCTGGATCTAAGTTCGTCTATTCTTCTTTGTAGGTTACGCGTTGTGTCTCGTAATTCTTGTGCAATGTAGCAGTTCCTAAGTGCTGTTTGACAAAATTCTAGAACTTACATAAGTTGTTCTTTGGATAAATTGTGCATAAAATAAACTTTAAGTGTGAAAATATAATTTTAACTTACTAAAGGGTTCAAATAAAAGGTCTTGACTTTTAGTTTATGCTAGGGTAAATATGTAAAAATACGTTCATGGATGGGTAATATACTTTTGTTACTACAACTTTTCTGTAAAATTTCCTATATAATAAATCATTTTGTCTAAAAATATACGAAAGCTTTCGAATTTAGTTTGTGATCAACCATAATCAATACAAAATAAATACAAGTAGCAATGATGCAAATATTGAAAATATAACCCTCTAACTATTAATTACATAATTACCCAAAGTGTCGGTCTATGGATTCTGAAGATTCCGCTGAACAAATCAAAGTAATTACTAATTAATAAAAGAGTCTACTTCTCTCATGCTTAAGAGTCAAATGCCATGACAGTGATAAAAAGCAATTGCATACGACGGCTCTCGCAATATATCTCAACCTAACACGAATCCATTTCAAGTCTTAGTTAATAATGAGTCCATTCATAATTACCGACTATGAATTATTTATGATTACTATTTATGTTCATGTATTGATTGCCATCACATACATATAAATATCTCTTGTAATCAAGTGGACACTATCAATTCTATAATGAATCGAAATATAATATATTGAATTCACTAATTGTATAAAGCATATATATTTCAGATATATTAAAAACATATGTAAATTTAATCCAAATAAAAATTCATGAGAGCAATTCGACGACATAATCAGGAAAATAGTTGTAATTGCTTATTGTTAGTGATTGAATCTAATGCACACATACGCTTGCGCTCCCAACATTGACACGTCCCATCAATTCGGATCTCCCAGATTCTGTGTGCGCCTTGGTCCTGTGCCCCATGTATACCATTAAGGAATGTGGATCTGCTTATGTGCTCGTGTTTGTATGGGCTAGAAATTTGGCGCAACGGCACAGCCCGTGCGGCACCAAGGTGTTGTTTCAGCTCGCGCAAGCGCCCTGGTCAGCCACTACGACATGCCCTCCCAAGCATAGATGCTGACTAGTTTTGGCCTGCCTTGGCCTCGTTAGGGGAACGGCTCCAGCTCCCGACCAGTTTGTACAGGGATGGCCAACTCCTTTCTTTATAGTCAAGTCCACGACTAGCGACAAGCTCCTCGCACTCAACCGAGTCAACCTGCCTGAACTCTGAAGAGGTACCATCCTGTGCTCCTGCACGCTCCTTCCCTGGAACCATTCCCAGTCAAACTCTGTTCTTTGCCAACCAGCATGTGTGTCTTCCATCCTCCAAGCATCTTAGGAATCACTTCGTAACATTCTCCCCCACCCAAATCCTGTGACGCCCTCGTCGCAGTGCGACGCTTCACTACTGCGTCCACTCTCTTCCAAAGTTTGCCTCCAAGAGGTATTCTCGCCTTCCCACCATCACTTCCTTGTACAGCTCCCTGCACTGCATTTGCCCAATGATAGGCCTCAGACCAAGGGGACGTCCACTCCTCAAGGACGTGACTCTTCTCCGTCATGCTGCCTCCATGACATCCCGAGCAAGCAAAGGCCTCCTGCTGACTTGATGCTCGCCCTTCACCATGGTTTTCATCACCCAAGGACTAAGCACGAACTTTGGTGCGCGCGGCCCTCCAGTGCGCAACTTCAACGGACGCCTCTTCTTGGGGAGATGGAGGTTCTCCCCCCAACTGTATTGATTCCTCCTCATCGACGCAACTTCAGTGCACCGTCTTCATTCTCTGACCCCTTCCGAACCGACAAGGGGGCACCCCACCATGCTTTACCCCAAGTACTGCTCTAATACCATTTGTCATGGGCCTAGAGATTTGGCGCAGCGGCACGGCCTGTGCGGCACCAAGGCGTTGCTTCAGCTCGCGCAAGCGTACTGGTCAGCCACCACGACCTGCCCTCCCAAGCATACATGCTGACTGGTTTCGGCCTGCCTTGGCCTCGTCAGGGGAACGGCTCCAGCTCCTGACCAGTTTGTGCAGGGATGGCCAACTCCCTTCTTCATAGTCAAGTCCACGACCAGCAACAAGCTCCTCGCACTCAACCGAGTCGACTTGTCTGAACTCTGAAGAGGTACCATCCAGTGCTCCTGCACGCCCCTTCTCTGGAACTATTCCCAGTCAAACTCTACTCTTTGCTAACCAGCATGCGTGTTTTCCATCCTCCAAGCGTCTTAGGAAACACTTCGTGACAGTGTGCTGCCTATAGATTGTCAATGCAATACATTACAAGTTAGAAATGGTGGACTATAAAAATGAATATATATATATATATATATATATATATATATATATGAACGCTTCTTTTGCAGATTCTCCAATCCTATGAAAACTATTGACCTACATGTTTTTGTTGTGAGTGCTGATCCAATGAAAATGGGATACATGATAGGGGTACTTAGTGAACTCCTGTTATCAACTCCAATCCGAATTGAGGGCCAGACTGGAACTTACGGTAAAAAAAATATCAATAAATGCAAAAGAAAAAAAAATAAAAATTATATTTGCATCACAATATCACAAGTAGATGAAATAAAATCAAGAATTCTCTATGCACATCTTGAATAATTTACTCCATTCTACCATCTAAAAAGAGATGAAACCAACAACTTAATTGTTTACATTTCACGCCCAGTCTCAAACAGTCAAACTCTCCACAGTAGCCAACCCGCGTAACGTAATTAATAAATAAAACATGAGTTGCCCTTTATTAATCATGATTTCACTCAGACCGGCCCTTAGGTTGCTGAAAGCAAACGAAAAATCTGTTTTCCTATAAGCCATGCAGCAACTGTAAAGCAAAATAATTGTAAATCGAATAAGCAGGCGACCAAAAAACTTGGAACCTTGTGAGGACCAACAATAATCAAGAACTTGGGCATCATCTTCTTCGCGGCCAGACCATAACTGACGAGCATTGCCCCAGCCACCAGTAAGGGAAGTGCACGATAACAAAGCGACCATTTGCTAGCCATGGAACAAGTGTTAACAAGTATCACAGACATACTCCCAAAAAATGCGATGCTGTTAGCCACAATGACATAAAATACATCGGGGAGGAGATTAGGAGACCTTATTATATCTTTAACACGGATGTTTAAAGTTTCAACATGGTGTTCTAATGGATAGATGTTGCTTAAATTCAACAGACCGTCGTGTGCAGCGTTTGCTAAAAAAATGAACACAGCCAGCAAAAGGGATTTCTTCATCAAGTCCATGTTTTCCTGCATCATCTTCTCTTTAATCCTCCCTAGTACTGATTGTAAACAATCAGATGGTACTTGTCCTTCACAGCTGGGGGGCTCTTCATCATCATCTCCATTCTTGGCTCTAGCTTGATGAAGCATGTCACAGATATCTCTGTCATTTCTATCAGATATATTTTGGCAAAAGAGGTCCTTGGCTGTTAAACCTGAATTATTTATGGAGTTCACGTTCACCACACGATCACCATTTCTACGCTTGTAAGAGAGCAACACTTTCACGACCTACATTGCAGATAATTAATTATAGTTAATGTGAATTTCATTCATTATAGATCTGTGCTAAGTAGCCTGACTATTCACAGATATGCTGTGCTTTTGATATGAAAAATTATTACATGGTTCGAGACTAAGTGGACATGGCCCCTATCAATCACAAGTGCCATGTAACTAAATGTGTCGGTTTTATTCAACATTTTAATTATATAACAATTAGTGATTGATCGGATCACATGATCCCGAATTATCTAATAATTTTTTTGATGTAGTGCTTAGTAAGGGAAGTGAGGAGTGTTTGGTTCAGTTGAAAGTGAGCTGTAGGACCAGGTGTGAATTAATCATGGGGATGCAAAAATTACACACCCTGTAGGATTTCCCTACCAAGGCTTGGTGCACACAACGCACAGATAGAGAGTAGAGAGAGAGAGAGAGGAGAACCTTGACTTGCTTACGCAAAATTGCAATATGGAAAACAGTGTTGCCCTTATAATCCTGGCGATTTAGAAGATCCATCCAGTGAAAGTGGAGGTTCTGAAGTTGTTTAACCAACACGAAAAAACAACCAATTTGGCCATTTTGGAGAGCGACGTGAAGAGGTGTCTCTGCCCGCAAATTCAACTCTTGGATGGAATTTGGACACCGAGTGAGTAATGCCCTCAGAACAACTTCTTTGCCTTTCTCTGCGGCAAAATGGAGAAGGGTTCCTCTCTCAAGATCTCTAAGAGAACACAGAAAGTCAGGTTGGACCTCACCAATCAGTTCCTTCACAGTCGGACCATCGGCAACTTCACAGATGAGGTGCATAGTGGTGTAACCATGCGCGCTAATCCTCCGAGAAGAAAGTTCCGGATTAACCCTGATGAGATTCTTTGCACGGTCGATGTTATCATGACTTAGTGCAACGAGCAGAGGATTGTTCCCCCAGCTACTTTGTGAGCATTTAATTGCTCTGGACATCACTGAAGACATTCTCAGAAGCTATACCTCCTTAATGTATGGAATATACACGAGAAACAGAAGAGCCCATACATTGAGAGGTACTATATATATATTTTTCATATAGCTTAACTGAGTTTAACAATAACAGGTAGAGTGAGTGAGAGAGAAGTCGGAAAATTAACTTTGTACTTACCGACCGAAGGGAACAAAAAAGGGGTGAGTTGGCGGAAAGATCTTCCCTTGTTGTATTTGCTAAATTGTTGCTGTTGAGCCGTCTTATAGTTGGTAACGTCTTTGTATTGTTTCCGGAGAAATGCTAAGTGGAGTCGTCAACTGTACAAACAGAGTCTTTGGATACAGATGTTCAAACTTCAAAGGGAATGGTTGCACAGTTGTGCATGGCATAGTTCTTGTTTGTGTTTACTTATCAAATTTAGTTTGGTTGGAGTTTCCACCGGCCAAGAAATTTCAACCTACTTTGCCGAGTACCTACAAAGCGAGGAGATTCCAAAGCTGGAAAAATTGTTTTAAATAACGGGCTCCACGACACACTAATTTTAGTTTATTTTATTTTATTATTGTTATTATTATTATTTTTCACTATGATCACCCACTACTTTTCTAACTATTGTTTTCTCCAAAACAGACTAGAATCGATATTCAGAACAATATTTGTGCAGTTGCAAAACCAACGTCAATGGCTGATTCGTTATACTCTTCTCTTTCTTCACGGACTCAATTGGAAAATGAAGACTTATTGATCACGGGGGACAAAGATGAGGAGAAACAACATGAGGGAGGATTAACGCCGATGGAACAGATGCTTGAGCACCCTTGCTCTTTGTGGAAGAAATCGAGGATGCTTGAGCACCCTTACCCTTGGTGGAAGAACCCGAGGACGACCGATGACACAAGAACAGATTGGCTCCGCTACAAAATCGGAATTTCCCTTTCAGTGGTTATTGACCGCAATGACACGAAGTCCACAGTACTTGGGCTAGCAGTTTCTGTGAAAAAAGAAAAAGTTGAATGGACTTGGGGAAATCAGACCCTTTTTGAGATGGAAGCTCTTAGTAGCCATTTGACGAATAAATACTCAGAAGGAAGGCTCGCTGCAAGGTACTATTGTGGTGATCAGGGCAAGGACTACCAAATGAGAATGATATGTTGTCTGCGAGCTTTTGCTGGTTTCAGTCTGAATTCGGAAAATTGGGGTGATCGAATAATGGGATTGGATACTCCTTCTGGAGGAAACATTTGTCATGTGTACCGTACACCAAATGGGAGGAAAAATTGCGAGGCTTCTATTTTCCTTGATAGCTTCCCCTGTAAGGTGAATCGACAAACAGGGTATATAGATTATGATAAGCACGAGGAGAAGGCACTCGATTTTCGCCCCAAGATACTTATTTGTGGTTGGAGTTCATACCTTCGTGAGTTGGATTATGCAAGCTTTGAAATCTTTAGACAAATTGCTGATAAGTGTGGAGCAGTTTTGACGCGTGACATGGCTCGAATAGGCCGTCTTGTTGCAGCCAAGGTGAAACTTGTATTAATGTTTAGTTTCTGATATAAGTTTGTGTCCCTGATTCTTGATACTAGCTTTGCTTTTCTGTTATTTTGATTTGGGGGAGAGAAATAGAGAAAGAGAGACAAGAAAGATTTGAGTTGTACTCACAGTGAGCAGCGGGGCATGACAGAGCTCTATAGGAGGTAGATAAAATAGAGAAGAGAATACAGAGAGAGAGAATATAGTGAAGAGCATTTTCTAAATACAAAATGGTTAATTTTGGATTTGAAGGTCTTACAATAGTAATGTGACCAAATAACAGTGCGGAAGTGTGACCGGAGGCCCTTAGTTGCGTATTTTAAGATTTACTATGAATTAATATACACAAAATAAATTATAGGGGTGTGTAACACACACAAAATGAAAACCATGTTTTTGATGTACTTTCCCCTTTAGTAATTTGTAAATCCTTATCACACAACCCACAATTCTCCCAAATCTTGACTTTTTTCTTTTCTTTTCCCTAGCGTTTATGGCTTAAACTATTTGGAAAGTTCTGTAACTTAATTTTGGGGAATTAGTTCCTGAATTTCTCTTTATTTTAAGTTTTTTATGTCTACAATTTTATTCTTCTTAGATGACATTAAATTCAGCAGAATCTTTTCTCAGTTATTTAGGATTGGTTACATGAATATTTGATCACATGTTTTCATACTAACTCTACCAATTTTAATTTGATGTTTCTATGTTTTTTCCCTGTGACCATGTCAAATCTTCTTAACAGGTGTCCTTAGTGAATGCATGTCAAAACCATCTTAATTGATGCTCTTATTTTATCTCCCTACGGTTCTACTTCAGTCATAGTAGGAATGTGTTTATTTCTAATTATATTCATTCTTTTCTTCCTGCACAGTGCACATCCATCATAACTGCAGCCAATTGTTCTAATTTTTGTTAGTTATATTAGTTTAGCCATTAGGCTATTATTCCTTTTTTCTTTTCTTTTCCCCTTTTTATTTTTATTTTATTTTAATTTTTTTTTTTTTTTTTTGGTTTTAAGAGAGTGTCAAATTGTGTTATTTTTGGAATTTTACTGCTTATATAAATAATAGTTGCAATATTCATCAAATTATTATTATTATTCACAAATAAGATAATAATTTTCCTCTTTGCTAAACTTTGTGAATTCAAAATTATTTTTAATTTACTTTCCTAGCTTCCATTTTGTCATTTATGTGCTCTATTTTTCATAATCTTCTTGCTCTTTATTATTGTGCTCAATTTGCAAAAGTTTGCAATTAAGCTTACACTTTCCTCAACTCTCTTCAGTATTTAGCAATATCACTTCTCACTGGGAATGATTCAAAAGCTTACTGTTCTGCATATCTAAAACTTAAGACATTAGACGGTTTTACCACTTCGGAAGGTCAACATGTTCTAGGAGTACGAAATTGTGGGAAGACAGATGTAAGCTTCAAAATTTAATATAATTGTTATATTAGTTCAGCAGTTGTTCTAATTTTTGTTAGTTATATTAGTTTACATGTATGGTGAATTCCAGAACAAGGAGTTGTATCAGAACCCATTTGTCGATGATGAGAAGAGGCAGAAGTTTGTTCAATGGCGGTTTCAGTACTTGGAGCAGAGCATCAGAAAGCTTGATTTATTCACCATTGTTAAGAGCAATGTTCTCAAGTATTGGGCAGGAGCCTTCAAGAGAGAGCTCTGTTTCGCCACCAACCAAGCCCTCCAGTTGCTTCAGGATAATTACCCTGAGTTTGTGGCCAAAAAGGTAATACCTATATAGATAAGTTTGTATGTGTGTGTGTGATTTGTTGTTTTGTGGTGTTGGTTTTTGTATTAATTTGATATGGGTTTTGTGGTACAAAGGTGTTTATCGATGTTCCATGGTGGTATCTGGCATTCAATAGGATGATAAGTCCTTTTTTGACCCTAAGGACCAAGAGCAACTTTGGGTTTGAAGGCCATCCAAAATCTGCTGAAACCCTTTTCAAGTTAGTGAATTCATTTTTTTTTTTTTTTGGGGGTGGGTTTCATCTATAGATACGTGTTTATATGATCTATAACATTATATATTGGCTTGGCTTGTGTTTGAATGAAAAAATAAAAAATAAAAAATAAAAATCAGATATATAGCTCCTGACCAAGTACCAGTTCAATTTGGTGGACTTAGTAGGGAGGATGACCAGGAATTCACCACGGCTGACTCTGTTACAATGGAGACAATAAAGCGAGCAAGCGTCGAATACATAGTTGAAATTCCTGTTTCTCAGGTGGGTAATCCTTCCTGATTATAATGAATATAACTGTTTTAATGAATTGTGATACATTAATGTATTGATTATGTATATGTTAGAATTTTAATTTGGGTATTGTTGGATTAATACAAGGTTGAAATTTCTGTTTCTGAGTTGGGCAATCCTTGCTGATTGTAATATTCAGCATAAGATACCAGTTTTCTCTTTGCTAAACAATGTAAACGTGCGGATTCAAAGTTATTATTTAATTTATTTTTACAGTATCCATTTTGTCACTCATGTTCTCTGTTTTCCATCTTTTTATTCTTCATATTTGTTTTTCTTTTTCGTTTTTCCCCCAACGAATCTCAATTTGCAACAATTAAACTTACACTTTCCTCAACTCTCTTTAATGCAGCTTTCAAAAAATTTAATGTTCTCCAGGTATGATCCAAAAACTGGCAGATTTGTGTATGTAAATAGCAAGTCATCCGGAGAAATGTTGACCCCGGACAGCCAACATGTTCTACCAAATTGTGGGAATGAAGAAGTGGAAATTGAAAAGATGCTTCAACAAGCCGGAGCTTTGAGAGCCAAAGAACTTTTCATTCACGATTCTGGCCATGATGCTGTTTGTCATTGTAGAGAGGGCAGTCACAAGCCATCACAGAATGTAATAACCGGGCAGAGGGAATTTCTATGTTGCGTGTTATTGTTGATGGCTGCACTGGTTGCAAAAATAACCTATCAAGCAGCATTTAGTTTCTCTGTTGGCGCCCTCAAAGAGGGCTATGCATATAACTATGCTGCGAATGGAATCCTCCAACTGAAAAAACGTGATTCAATTGCAAACCGGTCATTCATGCTGTTCAACTCCTCTGGATTTGTTGCATCAGTGGCTGTGATTATATCCCTCCTCCATGAATTCCCGCTGAAACCATGGCCTCAAATCTCAGCGTCCACTCTGTTTGGATCGTATATGTGCTTGGTAATGGCAACATCACCGCGTGATGCATTTGTGCTCCTGTTCCTAGCAATTCCATTAATTACCTTGGCAGCTGCAGGAAAACTGTATGGCTTTGCAAGGGAGAGGTCCTATTGAAGTTCTTGAAATCAAAAGTGGCAGGTGCCAGGTGGGAAAGCTTTTATTGTGTTGTGTAGCTTTGAATATATATATATATTGCATGTTATATGAGAACATAGTGCAGTAAGATGATCTGCTAAACTATGTCCTGTTTGTTATGTTTTTTTTTTTTTTTTTTGATCACTGTTTGTTATGTTTTAAATGTGAAACTCGTGCAAAGTAAGAGTGACAGTTTGTGTGATAATAAAATGTGTGCCCCTGCATTTCAGTTCAATCTTAAAGTCTTTTTTTCTTTTTCCTTTTCAGTTCAATCTTGATCTGCAATCTTGTACAACTACTCTTTCATCTAAGTAGCTCTGTAGCAGTTGGTAGCTACCACTATTATCTTAATTGTGGCCTTTTAGTGGTACAATGTTCCCTCTCTAGCTTGGTACTATAACCTTTTTATTGTCAAATGCTAGGAATTGCTTTATTTATCATAGTAGCCCATTGAGGATATAATAAGTCCATCACTAGTAATGGAGCCATTTCGAAATATAATAAGTCCATCACTAGTAATGGAGCCATTTCGAAAATTGGTTTAGTTTAAATGCTAGGAATCTTCATGACAACAAATGTCTATGATGCTTGAAATTTAAATATATTGGATGCTTATGCTACATCAATCTATTGCTTAATCATTAATAATATATTACAAATAATGATTACAAATCAACAATTTTATTCAGGAAAAAAAAAAAAAAAAAAAAAAAACCTACAAGTGCTTTGTGGCAGGATTATTATTATTATTATTTATCAAATAAGTACTCACATAAATAAGCCCACAACAAACTCGAATCCCTGCTCTCCCATTTGGATATAGGGAGATTATACCATTAGGTTAGTGCCCCAACCGTCCCTAACCAGAATATTTGCATAAGCTAAATACTTGTGCAAAACTTAATAAATGACTTCTGTTTTCTGTGGACAAAGGTGGCATTTGATAATCAGGATAAATATTTGGAGATAATGGGGATTACAAAAATAAATAAATAAATAAATAAAAGATGTATTCAACATAAAAATCAGAGAACTGTTCTCATATAATAAAATTAGGGATAAGATACTCATTTAAAAAAAAATTCGGGTTAATTTAATTTAAAACAATTTAGAGGGCCATAATTACATGAATGTAAACACTCAAAAAGTATCTCATGAAAAAATAACTCAGACAAAAATAATTACCAATATGCCAAATTTAAATGTTCATAGATACACAGGGTCTAAAATACCCTTCAGTACCTTTGAAGACGTACCTAATAACCCTTCTCTTTCCATCTCATATCTCTCTTGCTTTACCAATCTCTCACCACATGAATCTCTTTGTCAGCCGTCAAACCTATGACCCAAAGTGTATTTGTAAGACGAGGAAGCTTCCTCTCTCTAGATTGACAACTTAAGCTCAGGCGCTCTCTCTCTCTAGTACGACTCCGACTCGTGCTTAAACTCTCTTTAGAATGACTCCAACTCACTCCAACTCAAGCTTTCTCAAATTTAAATACACCCAAATGAGTTCTCAAGAGAAATGATATTATTATCGACTTTAATAACTTCAACTTAAAATTGACAGAGATAAAAATATGACGTATTATTATAAAATTTCAACTTTTAATAAATATTATTACTATTCGTGTTTGTTTTCATAAAATATGTTAATTTCTATTTTTTTATCTTCTCGGTTTTTCATAACTCATTTCTTTGTCTTTTTAGTTTTTCATAACTTATTTATTTTATCTTTTCAGTTTTTTATAACCGTATCATATTCTTTTTCGTTTTCACAACAACTTTCATGATACTCAAATATAATAATTTAATTGGTACAAAATTTAGAACAAAAATTGCAATATTTTTTAATTTTCAATACTTTACAATTTTTCTTTAAATTATCCTCTTTATTTTTGTTTATGGAGTCACATAGATAATTGGTAATTGAACTGCAACTGAACTTTGGTGACACCGTTAGGCCCGCAGCCCGGCCGTTGCCAACCCTAGTCCGTGATTCTAACCCACAATTCTTTTTTCTTTTTCTTTTCTTCCTATTTTAAATTATAAATTTTTGATGAATCTTTTGAAAACGTGGAGCACTACTAACCACTCGAGCCAAGACAATAATTGTTAAACGAGTTTGTAATATGTTCGGATTGGTAGGAATGATGGATGAGAGGAGAGAATATAAGAGGGATGGAACAAAACTTCATCGAGAGAGCGCTGGAGGAAAGGAAAGGAAAGGATAGAGGGAAGAACTCTCTCTTTATGATGGACTGTCCTACCATTTTGTTTTCATCCAAAAGTACAAGGAAGAGTGGAATGAAAAATAAAAAGTACTTAGCTAAATTTAAAAAATGTTTTACTGTAATTTTAAACTTTTGATATATATATATATATATTAAAACATTTTTTAATTTTAGCTAAGTACTTTTTATTTTTCATTCCACTCTTCCTCGTACTTTTGGATGAAAACAAAATGGTAGGACAGTCCATCATAGAGAGAGAGAGAGTTCTTCCCTCCATCCTTTCTTCCTTTCCTCCAGCGACTGTCCTACCATTTTGTTTTCATCCAAAAGTACAAGGAAGAGTGGAATGAAAAATAAAAAGTACTTAGCTAAATTTAAAAAATGTTTTACTGTAATTTTAAACTTTTGATATATATATATATATATATATATATATATATATATATATATTTAAAGGTATATTAGTAAAGTAATAATAGAATATATTTGCACCCCATACCTCCACCACACTCCAATGATAGAGCATTGTGCGAAGTATCAATGTTAAGCTTATAGCAACCCAAACATGGAGCCAGCCACCGGGTAGGGATGGCTAACAGACTGAGCAAGACTCACAGAAAAGCTTCATTTGATCCTAACCAAACTCACACACAAACTCATGTCTTTTATTACAAAACACAACTTCAAACACTAAAAAACATTTCAGCACATACACCAACAATTAGAAGAACCCTTTTCCCCAAATTGGGGACTTTGAGGGACATAAATAATACACACATAAAATGGTACATATCCTAAAATAGAGTTTGTTAAACGATATATTTATTTAGAAATTAATATTAAACCATATAAGAGAACTTCAATAGGACCTTTGACTTGCAAAAACCATGCAATTTTGCTGCAGATGCCAACAGTAGAAATGGAATTGCCAGGAATAGTAGCGCCAAGGCTTCACGCGGTGATGTTGCCATTATCAAGCACACATATGATCCAAACAGAGTGCACACGCAGATTTGAGGCCATGGTTTCATTGGGAATTCATGTAAGAGTACTATGATCACAGCCACTGATGCAACAAATCCAATGGAGTTGAACAGAATGAATGACGAGGTTACAATTAAATCTCGTTTTTTCGGTTGGAGGCTTCCATTTGCTGCATAATTATATGTGTAGCCCCCTTTGAGAGTGCCACCAGGGAGACTAAATGCTGCTTGGTAGGTTAATTTTGCAACCAATGTGGCCATCAATAACAACAACACACTACATAGAAACTCCTTCCTGGGTTTGACAATATCCTTGATTGGGTTGTCAGATGGCTTGGGGTATCCCTCTCTACAATGACAAACAGCATCAGGGTCAGAATCATGATTGGAGAGATCTCTGGCTCTCAAGGCTCCAGCTTGTCGAAGAACTTTTTCAATCTCGACATCTATATCCCCACAATTTGGTAGAACACGTTGCTTGTCCGGATTGATAAAACATAGAGATTTCATGTCATTTTCATACACTAAATTGCTAATGTTTGGATCAAACTCAGAGGTAAGTAATCCATTTGAAATCTGCATTAAAGAAAGTTGAAGACAATGTAAATGTGTTATTGTTGCAAACAGAGCAAAATAACAAACAAGAACATTACAAAGCAGAAGCACATAGCTCTTGGGTATAAATAATGGATCCCACCACAATGCATCCTATGGATGCAAAGGGTTCGGGTTGTAGACTTCCGTCTTTCTAGCGTTTTTTTTTTTTTGAAAGTTTCCGTCTTTCTAGCGTTGCTCAAAAATAAAAATGATATTTAGATGGAAGACCTCAGCCGAATATCACAATGCATCCTATGAATGCAAAGACTTCGGCAGAAGTCTTCGGTCTTTCACCATTGTCTTGACAAAATTACAAATCAAGTGCCAAAACAAAGGGAAAGGAGATAATATACAGAGTAGAAAGACAAGTTACAGACAAAAAACAAAGTCGGCTTCGAGGAGAATAAAAGGTGGGGAGAGAGAATAAGGTGGGGTGAAACAATGACACAGTAAAAAAGTAATCTCATGATATGATGTAATTTAACCTTCAATGATCATTATTAATACTGAGAAAAACAATAAAAAGACGTATCCACTCGTAAAATGAGAAACAATACCCAAGATAATATGAATGGCCAATGTTATGTTTTGGTCTTGAGCCCACAAAGCTGTAACTTATCATGCCCAAAGACACTACCACACCGTTAGGTATGCGGAATGAAAAGGAAAGAAAATGGAATGAAGTTGGGAATTAAACAAAAATGGTGTAGAAATTGAATTCTCATTCTTGTTCTATGGTTTGTCTGCAGACATGGAATAACACAGGAAGCTGTCACACATGTACTATTATTAGCTGTCTAGCAAGATTCATTTCAAACAAACTTGAGAGAGAAAATAAGAAAATAAGTCAAAGCCTAAAAGAGAAAGAAATGATAGACACCAAAAGAGTCCAAATATTCAAAACCCTTGCATTCAAGGAGTATTGTTTGATCTATCAGCTCCAAAGTTGAAGAACAATCAAACCATACTGATCGGATTCGGGTTATATCAATGCTAAGAGAGGATTTAGCTACTCATGAAGACGGAGAATACCATCTTTGTTGTTGGTTGGTATCTGCAGTTTTTTGGTATCCCCACTTTTTCTGTTGCTTTATGCCAAAGATGCTAAAAAACTGTTAGCATTATGGTCTATAGGGATAGCATCAATGCATATTTTATATACATACACATATACAGCTACAATTGAAATTAGAGTATGGTGTATTACAGTTTGAATTCTACAGTGATATGACAAACAGTTCACAAACAAATCAAGGGGACCCCGGGCCTTGCTGCTGCAAATTATGGCATACATTGCACTGTAACTTCATAAAGAATAAAAAAGGCAGAGGATGCCAAAATCCTTCTGCTAGGTTTTGCTGAGGTTGCAGTTGAAAATTTTATGAACTCATCAGAAGCCGGGGAAATTTATGATTAGTCAACTACTTTTGAAAAAAAAAAAATTTATGCCAAAAAAAGGATTAGAAGTAACAAATAAACATCAACAAGTGAGTTGTCTAGCGACTTCAGTCTCTTACCACTTAAAGGGAGCTCATGAATTCAATTCCCAGAAGATGGATTCAATTCTCAAAAAGAGGCAAGTGTAAGTGAGTACCAATAAAGAAAAAAATAAACAAATAAAAAATAAATAAATACCTGGCGCAAAGAAGCAGTATTCTTCTGTTGATTAAAATGAAGTGAGCCGATAGAGATGGAACTGAGGTTGTATGCTTCAGGGAGAGCGCAAGAGGGGGAGGAAATTTTTATAGTGCTTGCGTTGAAATTTGCACTCCCATTTTCTTCTATATCTTTGAAACAACTCCACGACAGTCGCCGTAATTGTGAGAGATCCAGAATCGGCGAGTCTGTGTGTCCCGACAGCTTATTGTCTTCTTCCTTGATCTCTGCCAGTTCATCCGCGCAGGACGAGTAAGATGCATAGTTGTTTGAGAAAATGACAATAGCATCTCTAGACTCTCTATCTGCCATCAAATGTTTCGGAGCAATCCCTTCTCGACTCTCGTGTTGTTTCTCGTCGTCATCTTTCAAGAGGATAAACAACTCTTTTCCTGACTGAGCCCAATCCAGATGATCTACAAATGTTTTGCGACAATCTTCATCTCTGAAATTCAAGTTGAGATTGAGGCTGAATAGCGAAGAAGAAGCCACTATCTTTTCCACCTGCACAAATATTAAAATATTAATATTATTATTTTGGGAATTTGAGGATCAGTTCTTACTTCTTATATACTAACCACCACACCAGTAATGCAAATAGTCGGTCTCTCTCTTCCAAGAAGAAAAAAATAAAAATAAATAAAAAAAAGTAATAATGGGTTGTGGGGGCAGGGAATTGACCGAGAATAAGTAATGTGTGTGGTAAAGTCGCAGTGGGCCTTACTTCTTCTCTTTTTATCGTCTTTAGCGTGAACTCTCAAAAGACGCAAACGAGTCAAGGTTGTGAAATTTCCGAGTGTGTATGCAATAACTATTTGTAATAATTCTTCGGCGCATGTACTGGAGGTTGAATAAATAATTCGTGAATTTGGTTCCAAACAATTCTATTCGTGTGGTTTGATTCTGATTTCAAATTTTATGATTCCGTAATAGTTTAGAAAAATAATAAATTATTATTCGCAATCTGATTAACGAATTGAGTTTTAAAAAAATTAATCCGATCCATTATCTTAATTATATATTAATATATCGTGTGTGCATATATATATATATATATATATAATATACTTTCTGTATTTTTTATAATAAAAAAATTTGTCTTAAATATAATCATATTAGGTTGTTTGAAAAGCTCAAATCGTGAAAACCGAACCATTTTGATTCGTTATTTCATGGATCCAGGGACGGAGGCATTCAGAGTCCAACCCCCCACGAGAATTTTTTTTATTTTTTATATATATATTATACCCTTGTAAAAAAAAATATTTTGAAATATATACCTATAAAAATTAACCATTGCCCCCACAAATTTTTTTTAAAATTAGCGCTATTGTCCCTACAAATCCACATTGAGCTCCTTTAAAGAGAAAGGACCAATGGCTCAAACCACTGAAAACATCACTCTGACCATCAAACACAAGGTTATTATAATGATTTGAATTTTTTTTTCGCTTATTATAATGGTTTGATTTTTTTTTTTTTTTTTTCTTGTTTCTGTTAAACGTCGCTCCCACTCATATAATTTTTTGATCTGTCCCAGCACGGATCGGTTTGGTTCGGATTAAAGGTCCCCATAAATCGATTCGATTTCAAATTTTACCAATTTGTGAAGACCGAATTATATTAAATTTTACCTCAAACCGAACATCAGTAATTAATCCGGAAAAAAATTACATGAGTTTGAATCACACGTGGGTCAATCATAACACCACCTGTAAATAAATAATAAATAAAATTGCCTCGTTCATTTATTTATTTATTTATTTATCATGTCACAGTGTGAATCCAAGATGCCAGGCAGCATGCCATTTATTCCGGATGAAAAAGAAAAAAGAAAAAGACTAGGTAAGCATAGTCACGACCGGGTTGGATTTGAGTAATGATATTTACACTGCTGTTTTAATTTATTTGTCTATTTTAAGAGTTTTTCGTTTTATCTGATAGTGTGAATAAATTAAAATATAGATCTCATTTACTCTATGATATATATATATATATATATATATCCGACTATATTTTGATTTACTTTGTGATCTTTTCATCCTAATTTAATAGTGGGTGATTGTTACAAGGGGAAACTTGTCCCACATCGGATCCGGATGGGAAATGACATGGGTATAAATGGGTGGGTATGCAAAACTACCCAACAGTTTGAGCTTTTGGGTAAATAGACAAGTGCCCACCCGTTACAGTTGGTATCAGAGCCAGACTCAGTCCTTGATCCGGTGCCACGCCAAGCGCCCGGCCATGAATGCGTCCGGGTGTGCCACCCCGGGTAGGCAGAGTGGCCCAACCGCAACGAGGGCGTTGCGAGTTTGGGTGGGGTAGAATGTTACAAGGGGAAACTTGTCCCACATCGGATCCGAATGGGAAGTGACATGGGTATAAATGGGTGGGTATGCATCACTATCCAACAGTTCGAGCTTTTGGGTAAATGGGTAAGCGCCCACCCGTTACAGTGATAAACCCTAATCTAATCAGTTTGATCCGACACGGTAGAGGCATTCAAATCCAATTTGTGTAATTTTTAATGGTTGAATTAATCCAATTTGTGTAATATTTAATGGTTGAATTAATCCAATTTGTGTATGTTTTTAATGGTTGAATTAAATTAAGGTTAGGTTAATCGATTTAAGTTCAAAATTTATACATTAATCAATTGAGTTAAAATAATGATACAATTATTATTTATTAATACAAATACAAAATGCAAGTAATCGGGGACTCAAATTATCTAGAGCGTCTATTGAAATTAAACATGAATACAGACTGAGCTGATATTTTGCGACTTAGGTTCAACTTACCTTCTATTGTGTATTCCTACTTCATCTTCAAAAAGAAGTGGATTAAATAATTTAATTACCTAGCATGTTTCATTTATTTAAATTTTTTTTAGCATCAATTGAATAAAAACAAAAGAACAATACTTAGTCTTCACTATTCCATTCTCATTTTCAATATGGTGGGGTAGATACCCACCTACCAAATTAGAAATGGTGATATAATTTAATAATTAAACTAGAATATATCCATTTATTATTGATCCACATTCACATCAGTGCGGTTAGTATGAATATGCATTGATCTATTCGGTATGCTAATACTCTTTTCTTCTTCTTCTTCTTCTTCTTTTTAAGTGATTGAATGTCACTCTATTTCGGTTCATGGATCTATTATCACATTCTTTTTTGTAAGTGATTGAATGTCACTCTATTTCGGTTCATGGAGTTATTATCACATTTAAAAAAAAAAAAAAAATTAAAATTAAAAAAAAAAAACTCATGGAACACTCAGGGAAGAAGCCATAAATTTTATATAGATGAGATAACTGCATTACAAAATATAAATATTTTTAACTAACATGATAAATATGTGTAAGAACTTAAAAGTGCAATGTAAAAAATGTTTTAAGTAATTCCAAAAGGAAATTAACCTATAGGATACTCGTAGGAAAGGAGGAAGGAAGTAAGAAGGATAGAATGAAGATTTGTTCTATAAGAAGGAGATAAGAGAACGGATAATAAGATGGTTTTTCTTCACACATATTTGTTATACATAGTGATGGGTATAATTGTAAAACGCACTCTTTCCTCTTTTCCTAACAACACAATAAATTGTCAGTTTTTTTTTTTTCTCTTTGATCCAACCCAATAAAAAAGGGAATGAAATAATTTATTCTTTTAAGAATGTCTAAATCATCTCTTCTTCTATTCCTTTCATTAAATTTTTTTCTTTCCTACTTAACAAAGCATAACTCACGGACACAAAAGGGGAAAGAAAAAAAAAGGAAATATGGAATGCTATAGAATAATTCATATATATATATATATATATATATATATATATGGATTAGAGACACATTCGGTGTAAGCTCGCAAAAATGTGTAAAACATAAATAGTACACGGCTTGTAGTCCATGTATAAAGATGTCTTCTCTAAATGAGAAGGTTGATAATTCAATTCTCACTAAGGACACATAATTTTTATAATAATTATTAATTTTAGAAGAGTTAGGTTTAATGAAATTTAAAAAAACATACATCTAACTCTAAACTGGATTAGTAATTTAATTCATGATTATATGGAGAAAAAAGTATTATTATTATATATAATAATATATTATATTAGGATAATTTGCACTTACACCCCCTTAGGTTTGCAATAAGGACAGATAGATACAACTTAGGGAGAGAGTGATTCAATTACTTCCTCACGTTTGTAAATTTGAACAACACCCCAATCATAATAAGAGAACCTAATTATCCTTTAAATTTTGAATTGACCCATTTAAATTATTAAAGTATGTTGACCAAAATGACCATTAGAAAAAAAAAAAAAAAAAAAAAAAAAAAAATCAAACTCCACCACTGTGGCCGCCAATGTCATATGCTATAGAGAGGGCGGACTAGGAATTTTTAATTGGTGGGGCCAAACTAGTAATGTAAAATTAAAATTTTAAAATAACATAAAATCATTGTAAGAAATTTTTTTGTGCAAGTTTAATGTATATTGTTAAATAGTGTCTATAAATGATATACAATAAAATTGAAGAGAAAAGTTGTCGATTGAATCATTATTGTCAAGAGAATAATTTTTTTTTTTTTTCCTTTCTAATTCATAACAAATAATATTTATGTATGTGTGTGAATATATATGTGCGTATATAGCATGTTGTTATAAGGATTACCATAATAATTAATAATTTTTTTTTACTAAATTTGATCTTTTATAGCAAGAGGTTTATTGAAATTTGAAGGGGTTAAAAGTAATTTCATTATTAAACTATATTTAATATCAGGGAACCATATAGATTTTTTTTAAAATTAGAGAGATTAACTTTAATTTTTATATAGAAAATAACTATTAGTATCTATGATTTAGAACCATAAATGCGAACTTTAATTTTTATGTAAAACATTACCATAAATAATTTTAATTTAATACTATAATAAGGTTTTGCAAACAAAATTGCGAGGGCCATGGTGGAGTTTTTTTTTTTTACCAAGGGTCATTTTGGTCAAATCAAAGGACTTGTAAAAGATTAATATTATACTTTCATGATTTAAATGGGTCAATTCAGAAATAAAGAGCAATTACGTACTCTCATCATAGTTGGGGTGTTGTTGTTCAAGTTTGCAAACTTTAGGGAGCAATTGAATCACACTCTCTCTAAATTGTATCTACAAGTCCTTATTGCAAGTTGTAAGTGCAAATTACCCATTATATTAAATTGAAGTATTTGCAATTTTAGAATAACGAGAGTTAATGCAATTTAAAACATAAAATTTAAGAAAACATACATCTACTCTCAACTGGATTAGTAATTTAATACATGGAGAAAAAAATATTACTCGGTATTATTATATATAATGATATATTATATTACATTGAAGCATTCGTTAAAATAATTTATCTTCTCAAATTGGTTAACGAATTCGTGGTACTTGGTGAAGACAAATGGAATTATTAGAAAAATCAAGAGCTGATAGATATGGAACAACTCTGAAGGGTGGGTGGGAGTAAATAAATAAATAAATAATAATAATAATACTGTAATAATGAAGAAAAAGTTTTGAAATTGTAGAGCTGAGAGAAA